TGTGGTGTATCAGAGTGGAAAGAAATGAACTTAGAAAGAAAAACGTGAACGCGACTTCAATGACAGGGTATGTCTGGAAATGTATAAAGTCCAAAACTAAATGAGTACGAAGAAAATTCCTATTTGCCCAGTCAGCTCTTACTTATTTTCCCATCAAAAATGTTTTCTTCCTGGAAGCTTTTAGGGTCACAGAAAACTAATTCAGAGGGAGATTGGCTCTGGAGCTGCTCTCTGGTTGTGAATCAGAACAGTTGCTGCAGTAGATCAACTTCCCAAACCACAGGTATCTCATGCAAAAATGAATCTTGAGAATATATTTCTATGCACTAAGAGCTGCTTTGTGCTGTCCCAATCACTTGCTAGAAAAAGCAGATTGAAGACAGAAAAAGGTTGGACAAGACTGTCTGGTTCTCCACCCGGTCTCTGGTCAGGCCTATGGGTCATTATGGTCCCAGCTTGGCCCAGAACAGAGGGTGCTTTAAGGTCACCTGGAGCTTTCTTTCCTCACCTTGGGAATGAGTATAAATCCACAACAGAAACAGTCTGGCATGGTACCAGCAATGGTTTTACCAAGGTCTTGTCTTCTGATGAACGTTGCATCTCTTTAACAAACAATTATCACTAAAAAAAAAAAAAATCACTCAATAGATACTGTGCAAAGCAGCACTGTGCAGCGAAACAGTGCTGGCTCCTGACCAGAAGCAGCGTAGTCATGTACATGTGGCACTATTCTGCTTCATCTTGCAGTGATCGTTAGTGATAATTAGTACAAGGTGGCTATCCTGCTTCCAAACTGAGAGCTGGTGCGCTCAGAGGTGGCTTGAGTTTTCTCTGCAAAGTGCTGCTGTACACTCGGGCACTGTGCTCAACCGAACTCGTGGAAAAAAAACCTGCAAGTGGCATGTAAGCAGAGAACAGTAAGGCTCTGATTTTCTTTTTTAAAATCAGTCTGGTCTCTATTTTACAGATGGACTTCAAAGGAGTGATAATTGCAAATAATGACACACAAAACCTTCCTGTGATGAGAGAAGGCTGAGTTTTACCCTTCCTAACACAAGGTCCATGCAGCTCACATTTAAATGCCCAAAAATCAAGCTTGAACTGGCTTATGTGAAGCCTGCCTTTGTCCTGGCCCCTCTGCACAGCAGGACAGTATGACTAGTCCCTGCAAGTCAAAGAGCTAGTTATAAAATCCTGAATTTTCTTTTAAAAAAGAAGAAGAAGAAGAAGAAGAAGTGGGTGCTTTTATCTGCTGCCTTGTTTTGTGGCTGGGCAGCCACACTGTCGAAATGTTCTCAGCTACCATGAGGACTGGAAGCCTGCTTATTTTAATAATAATTTTGAATCCTAATCACATGATTACAGGGAGGGGGGCTTTTGATAATAGCAGCAAATACTGTGAAATACACTGAATGTCATCTGGACAGCGTGGGGAGCAACCAGAATTGTAATGGCCGTGACAGCGGCTACCCCCTAAACTTACAAAATCTGAGTTTCCAATGGTATCTTTTTTCCGTGCTCTTTACAAAAAGGTTAAACAAAGCCACGGTAATCAAAGGAAAGAGAAAAATTCCTATGTAAAACTTGTAGTCTCACATTAATATTAATCGGTACTATGTATAATTCATTTCAAAGGATGCTGTCAACTCAGATTTAGCCTGAAGTGTGGATCATATAAGAACACTTCTGTGAAACTTTAAAACCAATATAAATGTCTATGATGATTTTTTTCAATTCTAAACATTCCCCCTCCCAGACTTTGCCTGGTGTCAGACAGGAGCCTAGCATCGTTTTGTGCCAGCTGACAACTGTTAATTGTGTGTGAATTCAGACTAGCCGAAATGGCATTAAAATAATTTCATTTGAATGAAACAGAGGCATGCACCTCTGCATCTACAAATGAGAGGTGGGAGGGAAGACAAACTGCAGTATACCAACCCTGGTGGAAGGCATACTTCATCCCAGCAAGTCTACCAGATCCAGGAGAGGGGCAATGGTTCAGAAGGACACAGCAGGACAAGACTATAACATTTTATTAACCACAGAGGTGTTAATTCAGCTTTTTAATTTTACCAGGTAATGGCTCCGTTGTGCTTACGCTAAAGGGAAACTGTCAATCCATGTAAATCTGGAGAATAAACGTGGAGAGAAAATCTGAGAGATTACCTGCAGGGCCTTGACCCTGAAAACCCTTGCTGAGCTTTATACAGGTTAGTAGCCCCATCAAAGTTAATGGGTCTACTCCTGCCTGAAGTCGTACCTGTGTGTTTGCAGGACTGCAGCCTAAAATCTGCTTTTTCAATCTTGCATAAGCAGATTTAAACACGTGCAGGTGGCAAAACAGATTACTTAGTGGAGGAATTAAGATTATCACAGGACTAACTACTTGCAGATGCACAGGCCAGAGCCCAGCTGAACATGCTTGCACATATTAACAAACACTTCTTGGGATTTGAGATGAGTCGGCTGGTTAGATGGACACCAATCTCATCTTTCTTTGGAATTTCATTTTACCAAATATTGTAGCAAGCCGTCCTTATGGGTAACTTCAACTGAAAAACCTCTCAAGGCAAGGTACTGAGCTCCAGGCTCCTGGGCAGCAAAGCACTTGAGGGGAAAAACAGCACACTGCTTATAGACATGGGGAAACCCCCCCCCCAAAATGGCACTTCACTTTTGAGCCCAGCACACGCCCAGAAGAGGCATCGCGTTAGATGGACCCGGCTCCCCCAACATCTGAACAGATCACACGCTTCGACTTGGCTTTTTGGTGCTTTTATCTAATAGCTAATTGAATCAGCTTTAGAAAAAAGCTCCAAAAAGCCCTGCTGAAGTGCCTGATCTATACAGATGCTGAGAGCCAGGTCGAACTAACGCGCTTCCTCTTCTGGTAAAATGCTGGTTTTGTTTTTTGCTTTTTATATCTGTTAGCAGACCTGTGCTAAATCAAAGCCTCTGTAGCCTCTACAGCAATGACCTTACCTGTAGAAAATCAGCAATACTAGTCTTTTGTACCAAGGTAGCAGCTATTAGACCAAAATCTGCCATCCCCTCTCTCCATGTATACTTTGCCTGCAGTATCCCGTAGACCCTTCACACTGTATATCACCTGCTAGAAGTATATCATGGAACAGCAGGCATGTGGTATCACCCTGACGTCCCTGCAGATGCTCTCTAATACAAGTATCGGTGAAAAACCCTCATATATGACCACTACTATCCTTTACTATGTATGACAACCTCATTCATGCACAAAACTCCATACTTCTCCTCTTAGAGTATACAGTTAAAATTCAGGGGGGCAACCCAAAGATATATAAATAATGAGGCAAATATTAAAATACAAATGTTCTGATGTTTTCTTCTCCAAAAGTTGATCCTGTAGTCAAATGCAATATTGCATCTTCTGCTCTCAGAGACCAAAATCCATGAATATCATTATCCAATCAGCTGCATGCACGGAATATAACATTTCAAACTGGAGAGATTTGTTTTAGTTGCAATGTGGCAAAAGTGGCAACAGCCCTCTGCACAACAGTGTGACCAGCCACCAGGCTATGAACTGGCTCTTAGCTTCTGAATAGCATCTCTTGGGGAGAAAAGGGTGCAAGACTAAGGGGACCAAGGCTACTGGGATGCAACCCCTACAAGCCCTCAGCTGTCCCAAAGGCCATGGGGGACTTTGCTGTGAGCAGATACAATCTCTGTGACCCAAATGGAGCCCACAGGATACAGACTGCCAACCCATGACTTGGACTAATTTACACCTTGGAGCTAATTTACAGCTCTTTCGGAAATGTAAGCAAGTCTACCGGCCTCATCTGAAGCCCAATAGAAAAGATCAATCAGACTAACACTAGAGTAAACTAGTATGCCATGGAGCTGGAAGTGTAAGTTAAAGTAGAAATGAGGCTATTTCTACTTTTATTTTCCTTCACCTATAGCTGCCTGCCTTGCTACCTAGCTGTGTTCTGGCCATTTGGTACAGAAAATTCCTTCGACTTAAAATCCTGGCTGTGCCCAATTCAGCTGTGAAGTATAATGGGGTAACATGATCATTCACATGACAAGTGACTCTGGGTGCCTATACATGAGCATAACCATGCTTAAAAACGGTGGTGGGGTGCTTTAACTACAGCTCGTTGAATGCGCTTTAGTTAAAGCAGCCCTGCCGCCATCTTTAAGCATGGGGACGCTGATGCACAAGCTGCTCCAGGTGCTTTAATTATAGCAGCTCTCAGGACCGCTCTAATTAAAGCACAGCTTCCCCCCCCCACCCACGCTCCCGGAGCATGTGTATAATGCCCTCCAAGTCTAACCTGGTGTTACATACAGGTTAGACCGGGGTGGGCAAAATGCGGCCCGTGGGCCAGATGCGGCCCGCCAGGCCATTCTATCCGGCCCCTAAAAATTTAGAAAATTAATATTTATCTGCCCCTGGCTGCCTGTCATGCAGCCCTTGATGGTTTGCCAAAACTCAGTAATCGGCCCTCCACCTGAAATAATTGCTCACCCCTGAGTTAGACCATAGAGCTCATTTTGCAGACATAGACCCTCTTGTGCTTGGACTGTCAGCTCTTTGGGGCTGGGATCAATGCTGAGTGGGCCTCCTAAGTGCTACAGCACAAAGAAACAATAACTTTGGCCTGGACCTGCTTGCTTTAACGTCAGAGTTTTCCCATTGACTTCAATGAGAGTGGGTTCATAGTCTCCCTTCCAAGTCAGCACACCATGACTAGACCATAATGAATCTCTTCTAGCCAGTACTAAAAAACTGAGCTTTAAATAGCGGAACATTAGATTTCCACAGTTCAAGACCTCTTATGAAAAGTCTTTACAGTAATTTGGTACTCTACTTTGAATCTTTGTAAAATTTCAAACACCATTAACTCCATGCCTATTTGAAAACAGTGTGAAAATTTTCCCAGTTGAGCAAACCTGCATGAGCCCACACAATTATTTAGATTGGGAAAAAAAAACAACCCACAACTAAAACTTACTGTAGGTCCAATTATAGCCAGGTGGACATTGGGCTCCTTTCTGTGCCACTCTAAAATGCAACACAAAAATTGAGTATTATCAAATGATGTCTATTTGATTATTGACAAACACACACAGATGCTGGGTCTCTATTTCATAGACATTTGGGCTGGAAAGGACCCCGGAGGATATCGTAGCCTCCTTCCTTGAAATCCATGGAAGTATCTCTGTAACTGAGATGGGCAGCATTTAGACAACAGTACTTGTAGTATTGCTTCAACTTGGAAAGTGGATCAGATTTTCATCAGATTTACACATTCGGCACTCACACTCTGGGATTAAGTTGATTAATGCGATTGAAGATGGTACTTAGTATTTTCATGTCGCTCACACTGTTAGGATTTGAGCGTTCCTGTCTTATGATTTAAGCTAATTAATTCTGCATTGTTGCACACCATAACGTTTTGCAGGACACTGGTGATTTTGGTCACTAAGTCAGAGTGGTTTGGATTCTGTCTCCAGCTGAGAGAGTAGGGACATTCATGGGGATATTCAACAGCGGGGGTACGTACCTGAAAATACATCTACTAAATAAAGAGGATCTTTGATTCTTCTAAGTCCGCATATCAAAATAAAGAGGCATAAATTGTCTGTATCTTGAGGAATTCCTGTAAGAGAGCATTTAAAAAAAATTCTGAATGCAGATAGAAAAGTAAATTCTTTCCAAATGAATGACAGCAGGTGTGAACACACGCAACTAGCACAGTAATAATCATACTAATAGATAATACATAATGCTAATAAATTCCATATAAAAAATAAAACAAATGCCAACAATAATGCAACGTGTACAACCGAGTAGGTGCAAGGTTACTTTGCTGTATTAGTTCTTTCGAGAAAGATGATGTTGCTTGCACATATGATGTGATGTAACATACTGAACGGCAGCCAGTTGCTATAACGGCTGATTTGTAGTAACAGGAGTTGTTCACGAGCTTAACCAAAGCAGACGGCTCTGCTCTCCATACGGTATGGAGCAAAGCAGTTACTCTTTTTATAGTCGTATACACACGCAGAGAATAGCAGTCTCATATTGGCATTGTCTAGATTATTAAATAAATTTTATGCTATTTGTACTGTAGAACAAGTGTCGGTGGAATAAGAAGCAGGTTTTTACAATCTTGAATACTAAATGATGTAGGTAGCAGTTAAGTACCAACCTATGTATTCAAGACAACATTGCTTCACAGATGAAAAGTTTAGCATGCTGGGCTCAGTTGAAATGATGGCACTTTTGAGAAATGAATAAGCCCTGTCTCTAGAAAAGAAATTCTATTAGGTTAGTGTTGATATTACCCGTGAGAGCAAATGAAGTACTTTTCATGCACTACATAAAAACTAATTTTTCTAGAGGTAGTACTGTCCAGCAGGGCTGTGCGAAGCTTCGGGTGGTGATTCCATTCGGCGGAGATCCGGCCCATTTCGGTGGCTGAATCTCCGAATCTGAATCGAATCAGGGGACCAATTTAAAGGTCCGCACCAACTGAAAGCTCGGAAAAGATTCGGAGAGATTTGATGATTCGGACAGTCCCCAGTGGCTGCAGCAGGGAGCTGCAGCTGATTCCGAGCTGGTAAGTACTAGCTGGGCAGAGGGGATGATCCCTGCTGCCTCCCACTGCATGGGGGGCTCTGCATGAGCCCCCCCATCCCCCTCACTCCCCCAGCCCCTCCACTGTCCCCCAGATTGCCCGAATCTGAATCCAAAGCAAATACTAGCTGCTTTGCACGGGCCTGCTGTCCAGTGCTCACAGCAAGCAACAGCCAGGCTAGGCTCCTGTTGCTCTAGTGCTGCCTCTATAATTGACTGTGCAAACAACACAAATTTCTGTACTTCATTTTTCCAACCTGTAGCTTAGCAATAATATACATCCAGGTTGCAACATGGTCCCTGATTCAAAGGTTTTGTGAAGTTTAGTTAATGCATATCTGTAAAAAGATAGGAGCGCTTCATAGGAAGGGATTTTATAATATGAACAAAATCTTATTCTGGCTCCAGTGTCAAATATTGCATGCGCCCCGAAAATACCAAAGCGGATGCAGAACATTTTAACAAGAATTTAAATGATTGCAAAGCATTGCTTTTTAACCTTGAATTTTTCTTTGCCACATTCAGACAGGGAAACCTTTTGCAGATAATAATCTAGCCCAGTCACTTTTTCTAAGTTTTTGTTCTTTCAAAATTAATTGGTCAAGATAAGTCTTTTAAAGCAGCACTTCAGTCATAGTCAGGATACCGGGGATAAGGAATGCAAATCAAGAATAATCTTGAAAATCTGCAAATGCGGTAGAAAAACATAAAATTGGGAAGCACTCTTGTACAGAGCCACAAACACACAGGAGTAAGCCACAGATATGCTACTTTTATTAGGATATATTTTTTAAAATGACAATCTACTGCATGAGGTTCCCGCTGCCTCTGGCTCTATGACAGAACAATTATGTTCAGATTGTAACTCTGGAGACGGGTCACTATGTGAAGAGCTTTGATCAAATGTTTACCAGAATTTAATGTAGTCCACAAATTGCTGAATGCATGTACATAACACAGCACCTCTTACATGACTCCCATATTATTTCATTTCTTCAGGAATTTATCCTCCTAATACTCCTTTGCAGCAGGAAATGATTATCCCATTTATAATACGTTCTGCCTTCTCAAAGATCATGATAATCAAGAGAGAGAGAGAGAGAGAGAATATGAAAAATGGAGTGACGCCGCCCTTTTTACATTTATCTCATCCTGTGTTTTCCATTTCTAATAACACTAACTGGAGGCCTTTCAGTCTCTCAAAGCAGCAAATCAGGAATAACGCTCCTAAAGTCCACGGAGGTACGTTGTATGAAATGAGAGAGAGATTTTATCTTGCTTCTGAAAATGTCAGAAACAATCAGTGGTTCGTGACATGTTCAACTGATATTGCATTTAAAATTAAAATCTAATTTCGGGATTTCAATGCTTTTTCACAGAATTCGGTACTGAGTCATTTTGATTTAATTTGAATAGTTTTAGCTGTCAAGAGTGGCTGCAACAGACAAGGTAGATAATAGCATTGCCAGTTGTTGGAGTGAAAAATAACTTAAAATACACAAACATTTGGACTGGAAAAAAAAAATCCTTTCTTATGGTGTGAAACCCTTTTAATGCATTCTGCCTTTAAGAAAAGTCACGCTGGCTTTGAGTCATGATCTAGACTCCCACCAAACAAATTGCTAGGGAGGGGGTCAGACTGTGACTACCATAGCAAGACTCTGCCTGAATTGATATATATCTATTAGATGCACACCCACACAAGACTGCCTGAATTTATTTATACACACACACACACACACACACACGTATATGTATGTGTGTACGTGTATATACATGTGTGTACATATGTACGTGCGTGTATGTATGTGTGTATGCATGTGTACATGTGTATGTATGTATGTGTGTATGCATGTGTACATATGTATGCATGTGTACGTGTGTATGCATGTATGTGTGTATACATGTGTGTGTACGTATCTGTGTGTATGTGTGTGTACGTGTGTGTGTATGTATCTGTGTGTGTATGCATGTGTGTATGTATGTGTGTACGTGTGTGTGTATGTATGTATCTGTATGTGTGTATGCATGTGTATGTATGTGTGTACGTGTGTATGTGTGTATCTGTATGCATGTGTGTATGTATGTGTGTACGTGTGTATGTGTGTATCTGTATGCATGTGTGTGTATGCGTGTGTACGTCTGTACGCATGTGTGTGTATATATGTATGTGTGTACATGTGTATGCAGGTGTGTGCATGGTGTATGCAGTTGTGTGTGTGTGTGTGTATGCAGGTGTGTGTACAAGTGTATGTGTGTATGCAGGTGTATGTGTGTGTGTATGCAGGTGTGTGTATAAGTGTGTGTGTGTGTGTCCAGTTGCGTGTGTGTATGCAGATGTGTGTATGTGTGTATGCAGGGGTGTGCACATGTGTGTGTGTATGCAGGGGGGGGGGTGTGTATGCAGGGGTGTGTACACGTGTATGTGTGTATGCAGGTGTGTGTGTATGCAGATGTGTGCATGCAGGTGTGTGTACGTGTGTGTGTACGCATGTGTGTATATGTGTGTGCATGCAGGTGTGTGTACATGCGTGTGTGTGTACGCATGTGTGTGTGTGTGCAGGTGTGTCTACGTGTGTATGCATGTGTGTACGCATGTGTGTGTATATGTGTGTGCATGCAGGTGTGTGTACGTGCGTGTGTGTGTACGCGTGTGTGTGTGTGCAGGTGTGTCTACATGTGTGTGCATGTGTGTACGCATGTGTGTGTATGCAGGTGTGTGTATGCGTGTGTGTATATATGTGTGTGTATGCAGGTGTGTACGCGTGTGTGTGTATGCAGGTGTGTACGTGTGTACACATGTGTATATGTGTGTGTGTATGTAGGTGTGTGTACGTGTGTGTATGTAGGTGTGTGTGTATGCAGGTGTGTGTATATGCATGTGTACGTGTGTGTGTATATGTGTGTACATGTGTGTACGTGTGTATGCATGTGTGTATGTGTGTACATGTGTATAATGTGTATGCATGTGCATACGTGTGTGTGCGTGTATGTGTGTATGCGTTTGTGTGTGCGTGTATGCGTGTGTGTGTACGTGTATATGCATGTGTACGCATGTGTGTATGCATGAGTGTACGTGTGTATGCATGTGTGTATGCATGTGTGTACATGTATGAATGTGTATATATGTATGTCTACGTGTATGCATGTGTGTACGTGTGTATGCATGTGTGTATGCGTGTGTATGTGTGTATGCATGTGTGTACGTGTATGCATGTGTGTATATGTGTATGTGTATGTGTATGCATGTGTGTGTTGCATGTACATGTGTATGCATGTGTGTACATGTGTATGTGTGTGTGTGTACATGTGTATACATCCGTGTGTGCGTGTGTTAATGTGTGTAAATGTGTGTGTGTGTGTGTGTGTGTGTGTATACACACACACACAAATATATATATACATTTCAGGTATTCAATGTAGATGATGTTCTTGCTACCTCCTGATATGTTTTGCCTCTGGCTGCTGTAGATTAGGATGTGAGGTTGACACTACAAATTGAATCAAACAATAATGAGTATCCTGATCACTGCTGTTGTGAGTGTAAAGATAATCACCCAAGTTATGAAGAACCTTATAGATTCTACAGGCCTGCTAGCCTTGATTGTAGCATAATATCCTGTAGATTTGATATGACTTTTCTTCCTCTCTCTCTGCATTTTTCATTCGGTAAATCTGTCTTTTCCTTTTAATGTGTTTAATTAGATAATGGATGTAAAGTGCTGCAAGGGGCTCAGTGACCCTCCAGAAGGTGCCAGACAACCTCAACACATCAGACAAATACTTCACAGCTCTCCATCAGGCCCACTGTAAATCCTAAATAGCATTTAGAATTGTGAAATAATTTTCCCCAATTCTTCCAATATTTAAAGCTGTCTCTTCAAAGCTGAACGTGTGACACTGCAGTATTACAGAAGCTCTTACCTGTACACTGTCTAATTTATCTTATTGGAACCCTGCAGGGCAACATAGTAAAAATACTTTGAATTTTACTTACAAAAAAATATCAGCTGAGCCAGG